TATCAGACATTTTCTGAGGACATGGCTTAATGGACAGAGTAAAAAACTTTTTTGGTTCAGCGCTGACCTACCATTTTTATCACATTATTGAAAGAAAGGACCATGGAAATGTGCTTTTCACTGACGTGCGAAGAGTAAGTGTCTGATAACCTTTTGACCCTCAAGAGGAGGGTTAAACATGGATTCCTGAACTGCCTCAATGATGTCACAGTGTTCTCATATTCATGGCACATCCATAATCTAGAAAGCCAATAAGCCTGGATAGCCGAACGGGTACAGCACAGGCGTCACGGCTCAAAGGTCCTTGGATCGAATCCCATCAGAGTTTTTATTATTTACATGTTTTCTGTATTTTTCTATCTTGATCCATATAACTATTTTTTTCCAATTAACGCAAATATTTTCATGATTTATTTACAACAATTTAATAACAACAAATAATTTGTACAACAATATTTTTTTTTTAATAGGGTTAGGGTCATATGGTTAGGGTTAGTGTTAGGATCACAATGCATCATAAAACAGGAGTTTCAGGCACACGATTTGTATCAACCAATGGGATTTGGGAGGTATGCGGAATGCAGAAGGTTGCTGAAATGATGTGTACGCAACTGCGTATCTGCATATCTGCGCCTAACAAAGGTGTCACTATGAACGACTTAAATGTTACGATTATAACCGTAGCAACAGACCTCAGATGAGCCCAGACGCTCTGCGGCTCTTGTATTATTACATCATGTGTGAATTTTTCATCTTCATCTCTGTTTAGAACAGATGACGACATGTTTTTGAGAAAATATCTACCCAAGGTATCGTAATCGTAACCAATCGTGATCGTGGACGTGTTTGTTTCAGCGAAACAGCGGAGCAAGCGATCGCACAAACACCCGACGTCGCGAAACAGTTGGCTGCACAGTAAATCACCACCATGTCCGGACAGCCGCCGCCGTCTTACAATGAGTCAGTCGGATTCCCTGGCATGCCCGGCGCTGGAATGCCCGGAGCTGGAATGCCCGGGGCGGGGATGCCGGGTGCCGGGGGGTTCGCCGGCGGGCCCATGCCGCCCATGCTGCCCAGAATGCCCCCTGGTGGCTTCGCAGGTATGTGATGTCATGCGCAGCCTCCGTCTGCCAATCAGACTCGATCGCGAGTACAGTAATTATGACGTTGACTTGATTTATGAGGGGAAACCGTTTCGTTTTTCGTACACGGTGACTGCGTAATGATGGAATCTTTATTAATAATATTAGATCGATATATTTCTGTATATTTTATATAACTCACATGTTAAAGCCGCACAATGGCAATGCGCATCCAAACGCTAATTTCTCTAGTACTAGACTAGCAAATACTTCGTGGCATACATAATCACACTATCTTATGACAAAATAAACTCTAGTTTCTCCCATTTCACTGGGACCAGCCAACGCCAGCGGGCGCCAACGCCGACTTGTTTGCCAAACAATTTAGCCTCGAAGCGGTTAGGTGACGTCACATGTTTTTATCTTTGCTACACCCGTACCGCCTGTACCGCAGCACCGCTGTGCGGTTGCTTGGCAGGGCAACGCGAAAGTGTCAACAACATCGGAGAATTTGAACAACATTGGAGGTATTTTCAAATGCCTTTTATAAGACAACGCGCAGTGAAATGGGAGGAACTAGAGTTTATTTTGCCATAAGGTAGTGTGATTATGCATGACACGAAGTATTTGCTAGTCTAGTACTGGAGTAATTAGCGTTTGGGTGCGCATAGTGCGGCTTCAAGCATTGTACATTTCTAAACGCACCGATATAAAACCATCGGCACGCATTCCCAGCGGTGTTGAAATCATGCCGTAGCTTTATTATATAATTGCGGTTTCATTGTTCTGCCCGTATCTGCACTGTCGGTCTATCGTCCCAGCGGCGCGCCAGAACTCCACTTGACGTTTCTCCTGTCCACTCGACAACAATCGTTCTGGGTTCCGCGGCGGACGGTTTGTGAACGTTTGCATAGTAATTAGTATTTCTCACCAACGTGTTCGTGCCTTCTCCCTCAGGTCCAGGTTATCCACAAGACGGATCGCCAAAACACACAGGAGGCTACCCACAACAGGGAGGAGGCTACCCACCACAGGGAGGAGGGTACCCACCACAGGGAGGAGGCTACCCACCACAGGGAGGAGGCTACCCAGCACAGGGAGGAGGCTACCCACCACAGGGAGGAGGCTACCCAGCACAAAGAGGAGGGTACCCAGCACAGGGGGGAGGCCATGCCCCACAGGGGGGAGGCCATGCCCCACAGGGGGGAGGCCATGCCCCACAGGGGGGCGGTTATCCCCCACAAGGAGGGCAGCCACATTACGGAGGTACGTGACCTGACCCCCACGCTGTTTCGTCCACGTTTAGTTTGCGATCAACGTGCAAATTTATTACTAATTAGTACTTAATAATTAATTAATAACAATTGTAAACAAAACTAATGAAATTGTTATTGCCGAAATATTATTTTGGGGATCATCGTCGACTAGTTTTGCGTTGTTCACTCCACGATTTCACTCAGCGCGCCGATTCCGCGTCATTGCAGGTTACACGGAGCCAGGGGCGCCATCTGCCGGTGTGAGCGTGCCGGCGGGGGCGGAGTTCGGAGATTCGTTTTCGGACAAGGCGATCCGGCGAGCGTTCATCCGTAAGGTGTACCTCATCCTCATGGTACAGCTTCTCATCACCACCGGCTTCATCGCGCTCTTCGTGTTCCAGTGAGTACCGCCGGCGCCACCTGTTGGTGACAGCACAAAATTCGCGTGCGGTCCCCTCTTCCATTGCCATCGAAATTTCTTCGAAAGTCTTGCGTTTTTGTCGGGGTGTCAACCTTCGACGAATCGAAGCGGACGTAAGTGCGTAGGGGAAGATAGAGAAGGCTCCTCTATTCGAGCTGTGGTCAGCCGTGCAGGTCAGGGATCGAGGAGAGAGGAGGCGGAAATGTGCATCGGAGAAGGGGGGAAAGAGAATCTATGTTGTTGTAGTTGTGAGACTATTGCGGGGGCGGTCAGACAGGAGAAAGGAGTTTGTGAATGTGCGTAGGAGGGGGAGGGGGGAGAATCTATGTTGCAGACATGCCAACCATTACGATTTGGGCGTAATTATTACGATTTTGGTGTATTAATTACGCCATTACGCCTAAGTCATCCATTATTATTATTTTATTTTTTTTTAAATTTTTCTTAAATAAATTTTCAGTGATGTAGACACTGACAGAGGTTTCTGTAGTGGTGTTTGTGTTTAACAGAGAACTGAGATCTTTTTAATGTTTTTGTGACAGTTATTCTAGTCAGTGTCACTTGTTCAGCAGAGAACTGTGAATCTTTGTGAAAGAGTTTGTAGTACACTACATGTACATTGTATAGTCATTTATTTCTTCAGCAAACTTTTCATTTATTTCTTCAGCAGATCTAGAGAACTGACACATTTTTGTGAAAGTGTTTGTAGTACATGTATAGTCATTTTTTTTGTTTAGCAGAGATCTGAGATATTTTGTGTCACTATGTAATCACTATTGAGTCAATAAGAAAGATAACATAATCAGGGTATCCTGATCCATTAATAATGTTCCCTATGATTGTGGGTGTATGCACAAGTTTACTGTAATAAAATTTAGTTCTCGTTTGATAAATCTCTGAAATAATTCTTGATTTTCCCCACTATTTTCAGGCAGAAAAACATCATTTTGCCTAATTTAAATCAATGCTGAAAGTGCCACCAAATAGCTAATAATACGCATAGTGTATCCTAAGGTATTTCCTTAGATCTGATTTTAGTAGTAAGTAACTTTGTCTCTCTCTCTCTCTCTCTGTCTGCTCTCTCTGTCTCTCTGCTCTCTTCTCTCTCTCTCTCTTCTCTCTCTGCTCCTGCTCTCTCTCTCTTCTCTCTCTCTCTCTCTCTCTCTCTCTCTGCTCTCTCTCTCTCTCTCTCTCTCTCTCTCATCTCTCTGGCTCTCTCTCTCTCTCTCTCTCTCTCTCTCTCTACTCTCTCTCTCTCTCTCATACTCTCTGCTCTCTCTGCTCTCTCTCTCTCTCTCTCATCTCTCGTCTCTGCTCCTCTCTCTCTCTCTCTCTCTCTCTCCTCCTCTCTCTCTCTCCTCTCTGCTCTCTCTCTCATCTCTCTCTCTCTGCTCTCTCTCATCTCTCTGCTCTCTCTCTCCTCTCTCTCTCTCTCTCTCTCTCTCTCTGCTCTCCTCCTCTGCTGCTCTCTCTCCTCTTCTCTCTCTCTCTTCTCTCTCTCTTCTCTCTCCTCTCTCTCTCTCTCTCTCTCTCTCTGCTCTCCTCTCTATGCTCTCTCTCTCTCTCTCTCATCTATCCTCTCGTCTCTCCTCTCTCTCTCTCTCTCGTTCTCTCTCTCTCTCTCTCTCTCTCTCTCTCTCTCTCTCTCTCTCCTGCTCTCTCCTCTCTCTCTCTCTCTCTCTCTGCTTCCTCCCTCTACTCTCTCTCTCTTCTCTCTCTCTCTCTCTTCTCTCTCCTCTCTTGCTCTCTCTCTCTCTCTCTCTCTCTTCTCTCTCTCTCTCTCTCTCTCTCTTCTCTCCTCTCTCTCTCTCTCTGCTCTCTCTCACTCTGCCCTCTCTCATCTCATCTCTCTCTCTCTCTCTCTTCTCCTCTCTCTCCTCTCATCTCTCTCTCTTCTCTTTGCTCTCTAACTCTCTGTACTCAGGCGTCCTGATAGATTTCAGCAAAAGCCGGGTAAATGATAATATAGCGTGTGTTTGGCAGCTAGTCATTTGTGTGCGTGTAAGCAGCGACTGCTGTGATGTAATAATATACGACTGGTGATATTCGCTGTTTCAACCGACTCTTACTAGTGATAACCACCGACATAGTAAATAG